TATCAAAAGCTGCAAATGAATCTCTTGGATTTGAACATGAAATGCAAGTTAGGAGTTCAGTAGCTGTCTCGAAAAAACGATCATTAACTCTTGCAAGATTGAGTCTAATATATGACAATACAAATCAACATAAAAGCGATGATAATAATTCATCTGCTGAGCTCCACACCTAGGTCGACCTTTCAATACTACAATATCCTCCATATTGGGTACTAAAATATGTCTAACAAGATAAAACTCAATCACTATACTCAACAAATTATCACAACCATTGTCTCTCATGTCCTGCAATGCATACTTACACAAATTCAATAACCTCATAGCATTCTGAAAATCCTGATCCTTTTTCTGTAGGGCTTGTGAAAGGTCAGTAATTGTAAGAATTCCGAACATAAAGTAAAGACTGAACAAAAACTCAAAGTCCTACATATTGTTAATCTGTCTTGCGGCCATTGATTTCTAATCTAAATTTACGCTATCCTCAAGAACATTTATGATAACATTAAACATATTAATAACATGAATAATTGTCAGTAGGTGTGAGCCTCATCTAACATCACCTGGGTGTGCCAAACTCATTTATTGAAACTTACCACTCCCACCACAAAGTTCCCTAATATTAAGCTTCTCCAAAATATCAGCATGGTAACTTGTTCTAAGAGTATCTACACGCTTACATGATGCACCAACCAAATTCAAAATAATAGCAATCAAATTAAATAAATCACCAAGTATATCATTCCTACGTGCCACATAAACAACTGTCAACTAAAGTTGATGAGCNCACAGAAACAACTGCCAACTAAAGTAGGTGAGCAAAGCAATGGACATACATAACATATAAGTTCTCTCTTAAAATTAAAGCTTTCAAGCCATTGAGCTCACCTGACATAGTGCTTGCTCCATCATAACCTTGACCTTTCAGGCTAGATATGCTCAACTCATGCGTAGAAAATATTACATCAATGGTATCCTTCAGTACTTGCGCAAAGTATCAATGACATGGGTAATGCCTAAAAAATGCTCTTTCACGCGAAGTCAACAAACATCAAAACAACTATCATTTGTTCCTTTATAGAATTATCACGAGCCTCAT